GATTTATTATTCATTTGCTACTTGCCTAGGTAATGAGAATGACTGAAAAGAATGAGAATTTTATAGGTAGCTCTCTGGTATCTTACATTTTATGAGACAGATATGCTCTTTAGCAGTTTCATGTCTTTTATATATCTACCTTTTTCACAATGAAATACATTATTAACCCCTCTGCCATGTGAAATGTCTCTTAGCATCATTAAAGACTCAGCTAAAAAGTTATGTCCTCTACAAATTTCTTTCTTGATTCAATACACAGTAAAAAAAACTTGAGCCTGCTGGGGATTTAGCTCAGTGGTCTGCCATTTGCCTTGTAAGCACAAGGTCCCAAGTTCGAGCCCCAGTATCAAAACAAACAAACAAACAAACAAAGAAAAAAACACTTCATTCTTGGTTTTTACCAAACCTTGCTGCCAAAACACTTACAAAAAAAAAAAAAGTCACAGAGGCACTTATTAAAAGCCAAATAAGCACGTTTATACTGAGAGCAGTCTTAAGAGGTAAATGGGTGGTTATTACTTCTTAGCAGAAGAGAAAACAGGCTGGATAGTAAGTGGCAAAGCTTGAACTTAAATTTGTCTTTGGGGCCACTCTACACTGCTATATTAATCTACAGCAGTGCTTCCGGAGTAGGCCATGGGTCAGTGGAACCAGGACCCCCTCAAGATAACACAATCTGTGGATACTCACGTCTCTACATAAAATGGAGTAGGAATTATATATAACCCCCACACATTTTCCCAGATACTTTAAATCATCTCTAGATTAATCAGGCCTAGTACAATGTAAATCCTATGTAAATAGGTGCTACACTGTATGATTTAGGGAATAAGGGCAAAGGAAGAAACACCCTGAACAGGTTCAGTATCAATGAATTCTCTCTTCTGAGCTGCACTTGGTTGCGAATGTGGACATGGAAGCTGCAGGTGTGCCAGGCCAACAGGACTCGCAGAGCAGTGGTGACACACAGCAACATAATAACTTCTTACACATCTGGCTCTCAGGGTGACTTATGAATACCTTAGAACTGAGACTATTGGGAAGGAAAGGGTGACAAGTGACACTCAAAAAATAACTCAATCTCACAATGACCTGCTTTATATTAGTGGCCTTAAATAAGCAGAATAATTTTGTTCAGAATTTACAATGAAAATAGTTTATTAAACTGAGCTTCAGGATTTTGAGTAATTTTTATTAGAAACTAAGAAAGATGCTTCTGCAATTTTCTTATTTAAGATTTCAAGGTCTTATATTCTGAGTACTTCTAAGATTATGATACATAGTACAGTAACTTTTTATTCTTGTTATGAAATTTTATTTTATTTTTTTATAAATCAAAAAAGCTGCCTTAAAGCTAAATACTCTGACATTAACATAAAAGCAATTCTCTTTCCCACCTATATTACAATATTCCCTATCTACCTTGATCATGCCTATGACCCAGTAATCTGCCCCAGGCATTACAGAGTAGTCTTCAAAAGACCATGTACGGGAACTTCCAAAGTCAAAACATCTGGGTATTACCACTGTCGACAGTTAGAATTACTAAAGATGTGGGGTGAAGGGGGATGAGGGAGGCTGACAGCAAGGATAATAAAAAAAGGCAGATGCAACTCTGTGCTTGCTCAGACTGGTGATTGACTTCCAATTGATCTTTGGGGAAAAAACTTACACAAGGCATTATTAACATCAGTAGGTCTTATTAGTCCTTAATTTTAAAAAGTTCTCATTTTACCATACTAAATCACACTAATTCTATGTACTATCCATAAAACAATCACAGCACTTCTTTTAATATGAGCACGCATATGTTTGTGTTTAAGTGTATAAATTCACCCCCCATGTCTATAGGATCTTCATCCCAATTGTGCATTGATAATATTTGGGAAAAAAAATACAGTAAAAACTAATGCAAATTAAAATTATAACAACTATTTACATACCATTTACACTGCATTGGATAATATAAGTTTTGTTTTTTGGGTTTTTTTTTTGGCACTGGGGATTGAACTCCAGTCCCTGGGCTTGCAAGGCAGGCGGCAGAACCACTGAGCTAAATCCCCAGCTAGATACTCTAAGTAATTCAGAGATGATCTGAAGTATAGTATACAGGAGGATGTGCATAGGTTCTACGCAAATACAGCTTCATTCCTTACACAGAAGTTCAGTATTCAAAATTTTTTCTCTGGGGCAGGGATCCTGGAACTAATCTAGGCATACCAAGGGACAACTGCAGATACGATCTTTATGATTCTACACTTCAGCTATTAATTTCAATTATGTGCTTGGCTAGTAGATTAATGTTTGAAAGCTAGATCACAGATTAAACACCTAAATTGTATGCAAACTACTGCTCTACATATCCTTCTAGAAACTGATTAGGATATGTAGAGCAGCAGTTTGTATGCAAACCAAGAGTCGAAAGAATAATTGCATAATGGTAAACTAGTATAATTACTTTAGAAAACAGTTTCAGGTTACCTAGTAAATTTGAGCATGTGTGTAGCCTACAACTCTGTAATTTTATTTGGAGATATTGTAACACAGAGAAATTCTTACACAAATACATAAGGTTTATGTATAAATATGTATGACTGTAATATTTATAGTTGCAAGAACAAAGAAAAATGCTAGGAAAAAACAGAAGGTATAAATAGACCACTTCTGCTAATCAAAGTACAATACAGCCATAGGAAAAGCATTCATGTAATTGAGTTATAACTGAACTAGCGACTTATTTTTCTGGAATACTACTTTTGCTGGAAAGAATGACAAACTGCATCAGACTTGAGTAGAAAGAGAATCTGTGAATGCAAATAGTAGATGTCAATGATAAAATTCAAGCTTGCTTTATCTTTCTTTTTGCTCACTCACCTTTCTTTTTTCCTTCCTTCCTTCCTGTACTGTACTATAGATCAAATACAAGGCCTTGTGGATGTTGGGTAAGTGTTCTACCACTGAGCTACAAACTCAGAAAACTTTCAAATGAAGTTAGAATTTGGAAAACTTATATCCACAACCATAAGCCTGATGGCATACTCATAATTAAAGTCCACTTTGAGACTTATGATGATACTGAGGAATGTGATTTTTTTTTTATTGTGCAATGAAATGTGTCAACATTTGGAAGATTGGAATAGCTCAGTGAGCCAATATTTTCCATGTGATTAATCATGTTGTTACACAGTCATGCACCAGAGAAGACCCACTCAAATGGCAAGGCAAACAATGAATTTTAATGATACAGGGTACAGAAAGATCACTGATACAATTTCAGATTCTATACTCTAACATCTGAGAAACTATCACTTACCAAATTTCACTATAGTACCAAATGAAAATACCCACAATTATCTGAACAGGCTATTAAAACATTCCTCCCTTTCCCAACTATGTACGTATGAAACTGAATTTTCTTCATATACTTCAAGAGTATCACAAGATTGAAAACAGATATGAGACGCTATCCTATATTAATTCAGACATTAAACAAGTTTGCGAAACTATCATTACTATTCTTGCTGAATTCTTGTGCTCTAGAAAATAAATCATTTTTCATTTGAAAGGATATTTACTGGGGTAATATTTTTAATACTTCTTTCTTTTAATTTCAATTATAGTAATAAACTCTCCTCCCCGACCCATAAGAGTAAGCTCTTTGGAGTCTTTGACAATTTTGATAAGATAAAGAAAACTGCTAGCCAAGGGCACAAGAAAAAAAAAATTACCCTCAACTTTAGCAGCAGCAACTTAGTATCTATTGTCTCACAGTTTTTATAGATCAACAGCTTAACTCAATGGCTTCCCTCAGACTCTGAAGTTGTAATAAGCTGTTGACCACAGCTAGTTTCTGAATACTGGCTAGAGTTGGAAAGTGTGCTTCCAAGCTCATTCACGTGGCCATTGGCAAGAGGCTTAATATTTATAGCCAATTATATTTATCTCTTTTCTTTCCCTACAGTCATTTTCTTTTCTTTCATGATTTTTCTCTTGCTATGGTTTACCAAAACATTATTTTTAAGCACCTCTGAATAAAAGGGTTTAATGCCTTGTGTTCCATCACCAAAAAAAGAGGGAGGATATCAATATGTCCCTGTTTCAAAATGAAATATGAATTTTTTCTCACTTATAAAGCAATAAGGCAGAAAGTGCTAACATTAAAAATTTCTTTTAAAGAATAACATTGGAGGCCTTCAAATCACCAAGCTACAAAACTGTGTGGTACTGGCATAAAGATAGACCAAGAGACCAGCACAGTGGAGATCTCAGAAATAAATTTTCACATTTATTATAGTTAAGGTCTCAATGTCTTTCCCCCCACAAAAAAAGAAACACTTAAGCTGAAATTCTAACCCCAAATGAGATGGCACAATGACAGGGGCTTTTAGACTTACAGTATTAGGCCATGAAGACAAAGCCCTCGTGAATGAGATCAGTAACCTCATAAAAAGAAGACGAGGCTGGGGATGTATGACAGTAGTAGAATGCCTGCCAAGCACTGCAGATTCAACCCCCATTACAATCTATATGGATTTAAACCTTCAGAATGTTAAGATTCAGTCAGTCACAAAAAGACAGGAGAGTAATAGCCACAGAATTTTTTTTTTTTTTTTTTTTTTTGGTACCAGGGATTGAACTCGGGTCCTTATGCTTATGAGGCAGGCAACGGGACCACTGAGCTAAATCTCTGGCCCCAGAATTTTTTTTTAAAATAGTAGTCACTAAAAATGTACCAATAAACTCAATAAAAGAAAAAAAATAGTCTCTAAGAGCTTGGGGAAGTAACAAATGCACAGTTGTTTACTGAGTATAAATTTCAGTTTTGCAAAACAAAAAGAAGTTTAGAAATTGTTTTGTGAAACTATGTAAATATAATTAACACTGAAAATACACTCACAGCATAAGCTGTCTTATGCTAGGATACAAATAAAATACACAAAATTGAAATCTGAGATAGAAAAAAATCAATTTATCATATAATGTAACTTTAAAATTCTCACCTGATTTTTGTGTGTTAATTCATTAACTGAACTTTTAAGCTTTTGTAGTTCTTGCACATATACAGCAACTTCCTGAGGACCTTTGGCAAGCTCACTCCTTAGTTGGCTTATTGTGGCCTTTAGAAAAAATAAAATAGAATAAAACTTAGAGCAAACTAAAATGAAAAAGGAAAAAGAAGCAAAAAAAAAAGCTTTAAGATTACATAATTTTTTGTTGTTGTTGTAATTACACTGAATACATGATTCTTTTTTTTTCTTTTCTTTTTTTCCAGTACCAGGGATGGAACCGAGACCTTGAGCTTACAAAGCAAGTGTGGTACCACTGAGCTAAATCCCTGGCCCTGTTGCAGTTATACTGAAATAATATTTGGAACTTTGAATTTGTTTTTTAACCCTACCACACACTGCAATTTCATACCCTTGTTTTTCACTTAAAATTAATTTTTAAAATGTATCTAAGATGCATAATTGCACTTATTTAATAACACATGAAATAATGTATCTTATTTTATCTGTCAGAAGTAAACATCAAACACGAACTTCAATTAGAGACTCTACTCTTAAACTCTCCTGAATTTAAAGACAGTAAGTGGGCCGGGGATTTAGCTCAGTGGTTCTGCCACCTGCCTTGCAAGCGCAAAGACCTGACCAAGTTCGATCCCCAGTACCAAAAAAATAAAAAACAAAAATAAAGACAGTAAGCAAGTAATGTCTAATTTTTTCTCAAATTTCTATTGTACAATTTTTTCTTTACATGTATATGAAAACATATAATACAAATTGATCTTGGTGAGTCACTTTTCTGAATGCAGTGAGAATATATTTGTCTAAAGAGGCTACCCAACTAAAATTACATATAGTTTGAGTACGCTAGATCACTCATTGGCCAGGTATAGTAGCTGAATGTACTTTACTTTTGTTTTTTTTTTCCTTATAAATGAAAATTAATGTTTATTAAAACAATTTGATCATTTAAAAATATGTAAAAAAAAGTCAGGTAAGCAAAGATCTTGGAAATACAAACTTCCTACAGTGTATTTAAAAACTCAACTATTAGAAAGACTAAGTACTGCCTTTTAAGTATAATTTCCTGAAAATGACACTAAAACAAATTTCTATTTCTAATATAATTTTCTTGCTTTATTTATTTACATCCTTGAAGCTAGTTATTTTCATTGCCTATACTGCTATTGAATAAACTTTATAATATGGGCAAAAAATAAATTTTAGTACATATATTACAAAATCGAGTGTTTCATCTTCAAAGAAGAAACCTTAGAGAGCAACTAATTTATTGTGACAATAATGCCATTATTCAATAGGTCTTTACTGCTCCTCTTCTGGAAATCCCAGAGTATGAAAAGTTTATTTTTTTAGATATTTCTTCATCTATTTATAATAACTTTGGTTTTAAGTTCTGAAAACCACCTAGTAAACAAAGTAAATCAAGAAAGTGAATGAGCAAAATATTAGACTTATTGTATTTTTTTCTTTTTTGGTACCAGGAATCAAACACAGAGACTCACACTTTCCAGGCAGGCGTTGCATTGCTGAGCTACATTCCCAGACCCTTATTATTATTTTAACAACCGAAATTAATGAAACACATATTTTAGGGCTTTCTACTGACTTAGAGTCAATTAAAAGAAATTTTAAAAATGTTTTTAGGAAAGGCAACACATCTGGGAGGTGCATGGCCTGACCTTCTAAGGAAACACTCATTTAAATGTACTGATTCTGGTATAATGCAAGGGAATTTATCAAACAGTTTTATAATTATACCTTACACACAATGTTTCAGTATTATATATAACTTATAAACATAAAATATTCATGATACTTAAAAAGTATATTATATAATTGTGACAATTAAGATAGAGTGTAAAGTTCACAGGCTTTGGGAACTACCCTGGAGACTGGAGCACATTTCAGGGTGCGTCTGGCGGGTCAGGGGCATGACGTTCCTGTGTCTCTCTGGCTTGTCACTCCTTTCCCTCCGGCATGCTCCCCTGCTCTGCTTGCAGGCCACCATGAACTCTGCTCCACCATGCCCTTCTGCCAGGATGTTTCTGCCTCAGAATCAGTTGGCCATGGACTGAATTCCATGACACCACAAGTCAAATTTTCACCTTGGGCGAAACTCAAAAGAAAGATCTCTGCTCCTCTCCCACTGACTCCTATTTAACAGCCCAAGCTCATCTGTACCCTGGACTTTAGTATTCACTGTAACCTCTCCCCAGGGATCTTCACTCCCGGTGCTTCACTCAAATTCTTGCTTACTTCATTCTCCTTACTTATATCTTGCTTGAGCTCTGGCCATCTATCTAAAACTGTCCGCATTACTACCCACTCCACTATAGTCCATATCCTGCTTTTTTTTTTCTTCACAGCACTTATTGCCTGACTTTATATGATGTTTGGTTTATTTATATATTGTTGGACTTCCATGAAGGAATATGTATCTTATGAAAGCAGGTACAGCCGGGCATGGTGGCGCACGCCTATAATCCCAGCACTCAGGAGGCTGAGGCAGGAGGATCGCTGTGAGCTCAAGACTAGCCTAGACTACGTAGTGAGTTCCAGGTCAGTCTCAACTATGTAGTGAGACCCTGTCTCAAAAAACAAAAAAAAAAAAAAAAA